AATCAAAACTTAGGAAAAACAATGAACTAAAGACCAAGAATAGGAAAAAGAAACCAACAAAATTCTGTAAAATACTATTTGAAAACAAAGCAGTAGAAGTAATCAACATTGCAAATATCTTAAGAGATGAAGAAGTGATCAAGACAATACCTTCAAGTATCAAAAATAAGGAACCACCAGGAATTGTCTATATATACACAAAGCCAATAAGGAATAAATTGTTCAACTATAGTGAGATTACAGAAAGTATCGACGAAGGCAACACTACAGGAGAATGTGATTGTAATACATCTGAATTTAAGGATGAAGACCATGGTCACGTCATAACAGGAAATCTGAAGATTATACAAAATTCAAAATTGAGAAAGCTATTTAGTAAAGGTCCTGGCTATAGAGAAAAACGAAACATTAACTTCAGGAAAGCAAAAGAAGAAATAAAGAAAGGAATAGATGAATATGCAATAAGTTGGACAAAAAATGAAAAAGTTTCAAAAGTATACTTAAATGAATGGAAAAATACTGTAATGGAAAAGGTTAAACAAAAGATTGAGTTACTTCAAAATACAAAATTTAGACATATTAAAAATCCAAAGCAGACACTAAAGGACCATAATGCTATGGAAGAACTCAATCAACTCAAGGAAAAATATGCCATTGTACCTATTGATAAGGCAGCAAATAATATTGGGTTTATGTGCAAACAATACTACATAAAGAAGATTAAAGAGGAAATTGGGAGTGACACCTATCAAAGGATAGAAGATAAAGGAGAAGAAGATATAGTGGAGGAAATCAAAGAGACAATGAAAACAAAATTCAAGATTGAACCGGGAGAAGAACAAAATATTATACCAAGGATTCATCTTACAATTAAAATGTATAAACAGCCAATTAAATTTAGATATATCATTGGCTCAAAGAAAAGTTCTGTAAAACCAGCTGCCAAAAAACTGACCAAAATTCTTAAACTAGTGCAATATACTAACAAAAGATACTGTGAGAAGATTAAGGATTATACAGGTGCCAATAGGATGTGGATCAGTGACAATAACCAAAATATGTTAGATAACATTAAAAGTGTAAATTTAAGGAACGGGGTAAGAAACATAGCCTCGTATGATTTCTCTACACTATACACAAAGATTAATCTAACTGACATAAAGGAAAAACTGAAATGGGTGATAGATAAAGCCTTCAGAGGAGGAACTAACCAAAAGATAACAGTAGGTGGAGATGAAGCCAAATGGGGTGGAAAGGCGGATAATAAAAAGGCATATACCAAAGGAGAGTGCAATGATCTAGTGGATTTCATCGTGGATACAGCCTACTTTAAAGCAGGGAAATCAATTCTAAGACAAAAAATTGGAATACCGATGGGAATCGATCCGGCGCCATATATGGCAAACCTATACTTATACAGTTATGAATTTCAAGCCATTGAGAAAATGTATAGGGAAGACTACTCCAAAGTACTAAAATATGCTAAAACTACAAGATTCATCGATGATTTATGTACTATAAACAACGACGGAGAAATGGAGACTGATATGAAGAACATCTATCCTGAAGAACTAGTGTTAAACAAGGAAAATGAGAAGGATACAGAAACAACTTTTCTGGACATACAAATGAAAATAGTAAATAAACAAATCACTACAAAACTATACGACAAAAGGGAAAACTTCAATTTCCAAATAGTCTCATATCCTGATCTATCTGGAAATATTCCTAGAAACCAATCTTATGGAATATTTATATCACAAATAATAAGGATCTCAAGAATCTGCAGTCAACTGGAAGATGCAACAAACAGAGTTACCAGCCTGGGAAATAAACTACAATGTCAAGGCTACAGGAGCAACATACTAAATTCGTATACTAAGAAAGCTATAACAAGAAATAAATGGATATGTACTAAATACAATATGCAGGAGAATATCATCATGAAGGACTGGAAAATTAATGAGAGAAGAGAACATTAACAAATGAATATGAAACAGTATCTTCTCCGCAAAGAGGGTAAACTAAGATGACAAATCAGCATAAGACCAACAGTAAGGGGAAGGGGAGAGTTTTCCGGCCGGATCAAAACGTTTAACCCACCTATGCTGTGTGATCATTTGATCTGTGCTATCCACTGTCCCCATCGGTTGTTATCCTGCAATATGTAAATGATTAGGCTATCTGATTATCATTTGTATAACAAATATTAGTTTTACGAATTTCAGAAAATGCGCTACTGTATATGTTCAATAAATATTTTGTACAAATCTATGTACCACGATTCCTTTCTTGAGACATGTATTTCACTGAGTCTGTTCAATGTATTCTTTCTACTGTTTAGTAGTTACAATATACACCAGTCAGAAATAACATACAAATATTTATTTCTATTGAGGTTGAATACCTGTGCATCTTTCACTAGTGATATTTCACGAAGCCCGAAGTGCAAGTGGAATATCTTGTGAAAGCGTCAAGTGTCAAGCATTCACCAAAAATAGAATTAAATATTTATTTTATTATTCACTGTTCTATTCCTCACTCACATATATGGAATGACAAACTATTGATGTCTAATTAATCATAACAATGTATCCCCGAATATATACAATCAAAATTACACTGGACTAAGTTGTGACAGATGAATATTGCTTGTTATTTTTGTTGATTTAATTTCAGTAGTACCATTCTTCTGTTTTCAGGGTAAACTAAATCAAATGTCTGAGAGGAACAAAGAAAAAAAAATAAATAAAGTTATTTCATGTAACTTGTCTAAAGATATATGGCATTAACCAGGAAAGTTATACACTGTTCCTGTGGTGTGAATATGTTTTAAATGTGAAAGCAAAATATAAAAGTGTAAAAATAGGGTCTTGTATTACATATTTTCACAGAAAGTTATCAAGGTAAAAAATTTTACCTCTTGCTCATAGAGACCAGTCCCGCAATCAGAGCAATGTTTTCATTATGGCAGAATTCCCGTTGAACGCAGACATCAAGCACCTGACCTTGATATAGGGGTTGCAGCCAGGCTTGTCTTCAACTAATGCAACCTCATTATTGTTCATGTGCCAGAACCGCAAAAGTAGCTGAAATCGGTCTCTCGTAAAGTTTTTTCCTAACTGGGGGTTGCCTGATTCCATCTATAATGAGAAAATGCATAGAGGTTATTTACTTGGAGGGACTGAACGTGGGGTTTATTTCCCTAGGATCATGATTTTTCATTTTTCGAATTTTCTTTTCTAAAATTAAATTCTTTTTCCTTCAAAAATCTTCATTTTGGGCCAAATTTTTCATTTTAGGCCGAATTTTCATTTTTTCATACACAGTACTTTATATCATTTTACTTCATGATTTGAATTCATACATTACAAAATGTTTTTATTTTTTTATTTAGTGACCTGTTTCTGTACATGACCTATAAAATACTCTATAACCAGTCTTCTGATTAGTCTAATTAATCTTATGAAAAGGTTATAGTGTCACAATAATGGCAATACACATATGTTCAGGGTTGGCTCTGGAAATTGACTTGCGGGACTTGAATTTAAATAAATGAGCTTTGGGTCCACTTTTTTCAAAATGCCAAAGAAAAGTACAAAGAAACGGCCTCTCAGCCTTTAGGCCGAGAATAACACCTGCCTTTCCCCTTGGCCATCAGTGATAAAACAAACATTACCTTGTTTTTGTCCAATATGACTCCAGTGTTGCTTTCTGAATCAAACACATATTTAGCAGCATCTCAATGAAGGCTTTCATTCAGAGATGGATGTACTGTATTTTCCCACTGTATAGCCTACTGCAATCTTTGAGAAACTCCTCTTCTCTTTGTGCTGTAAAGGAAAGATCATTGTATATAAATATTTATTCAATAATTATAATAGCATGTTTTCCCTGGGAAATAAATAACATTTCGCATCAGGCAAAATCCTGTATCAGATCCCATATTGGATCCGATATCAGAAGAATTCAATTGTATCATTTTATATCACACCATCATTGGGTGGTGACATTCAAAACTTATAAATAAGTTTCAGTTGTGTTGAAGTATTAATATTTTCCCTGAGAAAATATGATATTGATCTCGAAGAATATCACTTTGACAGCCATAATGGAAATGAGGGAAATGTCAAAAAAATATTTATACTGAAGCTGAAGTAGAGTGTACCTAAATTTAAATCTGCCTCTTCCAGAGATCAAATTGATTTTATTGGGGCAATACTAGAATAATGTGCTTTCCTTTATCTTCACAGACTTAATATACACATATTGTCCAAATAAATGTTTTCCTAAAAAATGGTGGTGAGGCAAAAGCCTCACCTGTCTCAAGTTTGGCTTCACCCATGTTACGGGTACAGGTACTGTATAACTACCTGTATGAATACAGGAGATAAAAAATTATTGGTACATCCCTTTTGTTATACAAATATGACCTTCATGCTGAACACGTACTGTTAAACACTTTTGTTCATGTTGTAATGTATTGTAAAACAGTACATTGTATTGTACTATACTACATTAATTATAATCAATATCATAAAGCTTGTACATGTACATAAATTGCAATTATGTACTATACTCTAGTAATATTGGTAAACACTGAAACACTGTTTAATTGCCTACCTGTGCATTGCAGTTGTTCATGGTATAACATTACACTGTACTTTCAGCAGTCATATGATCCCAAACTCCATCCATGTATTAATCAAAGTAAATATCATTGATGCGGCATTTGGTATTGTTTGCTTTGTCTGGTTCCTAAAACATATATTGTCAGCTATACACGAAGTTGACAACAGTATAGCTCTTCACTTTATTCAGTGACTGACTATGTTGTAGTCAAAGCAGGGATTAAAAAAATAAAATGAGGTGGGACAACTAAGGCAAAACTGGACTGAAATACAACATTACTGTAATTCAATTAAAAAACACCTGACACAGATTGGAACATAAATAAATGACAGGTGGATTTGCTGAAGTGAGGATTTCCAATGTTAAAAATGTTGGAAAGTATGGGCTTTCAGATGGTCATGGTTGGTGATAGAAAATCCACCTGTCCACTCGAGTCCCAAGCCAATTCTCACGATATACATGTAGTGGCCTTAGAAGAAGGTAATTCCCAACTGTATTTGTCTTTGAAAAAGTGTGCTATCAGCTCTAGATGCATGGATATTGTACATAGCCATACACGTCAATGTAAAGGAGTATTCGGTATACTAGTATATGTATTGCATTGTCCATGGCAATGAAACAGTGCAATGGAATAGTACAATGAAATGATAAAGAAACAATAAGAAAATCAAAAATAAAATTGAAAAAAAATTCATGAATTCTGCAGTTCATTAGTGGTTTAGACACTATAGAGCCATAAATATCATAAAATCAATAAATATTTGTTATCAGATATACATACAGTACCTTTCTCTGTGTCATTACATTGCAAAAAGACAATGATCCCTCAAGAATATGCGATATATTGAAGAGCAAATTTGTTCATTTTTAACCTGGATGGCGCCATTTTGAATGTCACATGATCACCATGATCAAGTCATGTGACTTAGTTTTCTAAGTATGTTATTTGCTCTATTTACACTCTAAAAAAAATATGTTCGATAATAGTATTCATCTAATAGTTAGATGAAAATAATTCAGTTCAAATAATTCAGCTGATAACTTACAATGTCGATTATAATTGACACAACTCAAAAAAAATCTTGACTCGAATTTTTCTAGTCCTCCCGGGCTATTTACCTTATCAAATTGTAATCTTTCCTTTGATTGCTGAGGTCAAGGGACACATCTTCACTGATTACAAGGTATGGGAATATTCCCATCATCATCTGACTTGCTTCGGACACCAGGGAGATCAGAATCACTATCAAATAGGCTCTCAATAAAAATCACTGCCATCGTCATTTAGTGCCGCCATTTTTCCCGCCAAATATTTGTTTGAAAATTTGTTTTTATTTTTCCTGTTTTTAAAAACTCGATCAAGTTGAGAAAAATGAACAAACAAGCACAGTGTTTCGAAATATTTATTGTTTTAGACATACAATATCATGTTTATTTGTGAAGATCTGCATGTCTTACATAATTACTGAGGGGAATCCCCTTTTACATGGGAATGGCGTAAAGCCGATCTCATCGGCTTTAGCACTGAAGCAAAGGTTTTTCAGAGCCGATTTAATCGGCTCTCGCAAACACAAATGTGACGTCAGAGCCGATTTAATCGGCTCTCGCATTGACGGGGTTAAAATCCATCTTTATACTTTTCTTAGATTGAATCAATAAAATTAACATTGGATCCCAGACAGTTATTGAATTCTCAGACATTTGATTAGTCTAGATATTTGTACTTCCTTTGACCAGTGGCTGGTGTGACTGAACTTCAAATCTAATCTGTTTCATTTTTGTGTAAATTGAAAGGAATAAAGTTTTATTTTAAGTGTTTTAACAATCTTAACGTTTGGCGTGCAGCACAACTTAATACACAATCAAAGGACAGAATACAGAAATAAGAACATGTCTTTTATTTCTATTCAAGCTCGAGCAATATCCCCGTTATAAAACCAAAATATGGTCCTTGGTCATCGCGAAATGGTCTTGCAACAAACCTATATGTGCCCGCTTGTCTCTGTAACTTAATAAATAAAAAGTACTAAATATAAAATATGATTCTGAATAAAAACTTTAAGAACGTGGTTTGCGTTATTTATTTATACGAACTCGCTCGGACTTTATAAATGAGTATGGAAATACACAAAGCCAAGTGGCCATGAGCTTAATAATTATTAGTAATACTGAATTATTGTACATGTATTGCTTTCCTGGGTACTCTAATAATAAAATTATACGTTCCCAAATAAAAAAAAAATAGAAGAAGAATCTAGATAACAATCCAATAAACAATATCAAGTTTAAAATCCGACAATACGTGCGGGCCGTAAACGTTTCTGAATTTAATAACAAAGTACATGTGACTGTGTAATTATATCCATTGATGTTGTAAATTATTACTACATGTAGGTTTAAGCCATCTTGCTTCATGAAGCTTCGGACCTATCCTAAAACGTAGTGATTGGGCGTGGGAACTGACGATGGGTTGAGCAGAGACATATAAAACTGGTTTATGTCTCTGATCGATGATTTAAGCATAAAATTATATAAGACCTAGGATGAAGATAAGACAAAGATCACATTATGCAAAACAATTAATTGAGCTTTTAATTATTGATCTGTGTTATACGATCGATCAGTGCCGATGGTATTATAATTACATTATGTATGTGCCGGCCGAGGTGCCGATGGAGCAATAGGCATGTCGATAGGTGTGCCGATCGGTATACCCATCGCCCATCGGAATACCCATCGGAATGCCGATCGGAATGCCGATCGGAATGCCCATCGGCGGCCCATCGGTGTGCCGATCGCGCGCTTCTCGGAACGTGCCGATGTGACTTCAGGCATAATCACCACTGTATACCTTTTAATTTACCATAATGTATATAGAATTTTGTATAAATGAATTGTAATAATATCTATGACAATCTAAATAACGTTACAAAGATCGATGCGCAGATCCACGTTTTATTGAGTTTGAATCTCACGCGTCATGCACGTGTAGTTATTAGCCACCTAAACTTCCCGGAAAAAGTCTGAATATTCACATTGGAAATTTGTTATACTCTATAACTCTGAATTTGCAAATGTTATCCATGGGGCTTTTCTGCCACCTTGCAAACTGCTCGATGAATCTATGTAATGCAAGGGAAGAACACTTGGAATATATGTAGCTAAAATCTAGTATACTGTACCTTCAGAACTATGGAAATAAACAAACGTTCTCCAAAGTTTGTAACCTCTTTGCAGCACCCTTTGAAGAAATAAAGGCTAGCCTACAGTTTGTGGGCAGGGGCAGGGTAGTGTGATACGTACCTTTAAGTTCTACATAACTTACCTAAACAGTAAAAGCTCATGCAGATCTGCCGTTCAAGTAGCACTGTCCGTCGTGTCGGACTGTTGCCTTCTTGTGTTCACACTTGAAAAGTTGCAAAGTTGCAAGAAAAGGGTTTGGAAACATTTACTTCCTCTCATTTCTTACATTGTACTCCAGTCAGGAGAATGCAAATCGAAATTACTTGCACCGCAATGGAAGCCTAATAGACGAATGCAACAAAATTAGGTAAATAACATGAATAATCTAATAACGAAATATTTGAAAAGTAGAAGGATTCTTCTTCCCGAAGGAGGCCCAAAGCATGGATGTTTAATATAAACAATTATGGACCCTTTCCTGAGTGCTTTGAATGGATGACTGTGTCTGCTTTAGGTAGGCATATACCTAGATGCATTAGTGGAGAACAGAAAGCATCAATGAATGCACAGAAAATGAAATTTGCACGACTTTCCAAAAGAATTCCATATGAGCAATCATAGTAAAACATGTTTACCATGATATGGCAAAAATGTTGAACAAGACCTTGTACAAGAACATGGTGTAAATGTGAGAAAAACTGCAATCAGAAATTTAAAGGCAAATAACACAAAATCTAGGTTTCAAAGCACAAGTGTGGCTGATCCAATGCACCTTTAAGCTCAATATTATTACTACATTTATTTACATTTACACACACTTATCATTCTTACATAAATGTTGCTGAAACTTACTAATTATATCTCTTCTTCATCAAACTAAATAATCCATTGAAACATTGATTAGAGGGAAAGCAAGTAAGTTTTCTGAAGGACATGTAACTGTGGCTATGTCAATGTGGTATCTGGCAGTCATCTTCAGAGTATGTTAACAAACTGGAACTTCTGTAGGTGGTACAATTTTTTGCCATTCGCAAACTGGGAAGTTTTCTTCCCATATGATAGACTTCTCTTAGAAGCAAGTGGTATTGGACCAAACCATAGATCTACTAATCTTCTTTTATGAACTTATATTTATATTATGTTCTATTTAAATTCTACAGGGTGTCCATGAAGTAAAGATACAAGCGCTCTTATTTTGGAAGATTTCATTGGAGATTAAATTCTACATGGTGTCCAGGAAGTAAAGTTACAAGTGCTCTTATTTGAAAAGATTTCATTGGAAATCAAATTCTACAGGGGGTAGAATTGTAGAAACGATTGTGTATATAATATTTAAGGATATGGTCAGACAAGCGAGACGTTGCCTGAAGAACAACATACCAAAGCAGGAAATTCAGGAAATCCTGAGTACATATCCCCATCTTTTATAGACAGACATATGTCTTTCTCTAAAAAACAGGAAGTAATGTAGGCATTTTGCCTACTTCACTCGTTCAGAATCTCATATACAGTTGTATATAACCAACATGATTATATAACAAACTGTGAGGAAGGCTGATTTACTTCAAACAGACACATGTGTATTTCCGTTTGATAGAACAATTCAAAGCCACACCTATACCCACATTTCAAGCAGAATCATGAATTTTAGTGTCAAAGCTATATAATAATAATGATTAATCTAAATAATATAGCAAAGGAGGCTGATGTCAATAGAGCCCAGTTAAACTGTAGCTACATGATACATTTTTTCTTCAGTCATTCTAATTGCTCCAAGTACTTTATAGAAAACATCATATTTCTAACACCTCTTGTCTTCAAAACTGCATCAAGAAAATCAGAAATAATTCACTGAAAAGTCTAATGGCAATTGAGAGCAGTACATAATCTAAATACTTCATCATAGATGGTTATGAAGTGGTCTGGGACATGTGGGTAGAGATGTACAAGTGGGATAAGAAGAGTAATTCAACGAAGATATACTTTGAACTCACACAAGAACATTTATTTTTGATAATAGCAGTATTTGGGATTGTACACCTGAGCTCAACTGTTACAAATAATGGACAAATAACCAAGGAACATTTGGATTTTATTTCATCTAAAACTTCAACTTACCAGCCTATCACAAACGATTATGTAATTGATTCATCAATAATTGCTGACACAAGAAGTACATTTCCACTTGAAGAGCAAGTAAGAGATGGGGTAAAATACATTTTCAACCACATGTTCCCTCTTGGAGAGTGTAAAATAGCAATATGACTGGGAAAGTCCCTGCTGATGTGGAATCAAAGGGAAAACTGAACCAAATTAAGGTTGCAGCCTTAATGGCAATATATTTAATTCTTTAAAAATGAAAAAAAATTCAAAAAGAGACAATCAAATTTAAAAACTCAACATTCATATCATTTTGCATGATTGTACAAAAAAAGAGGAAAGGATTCAGGACTGGGGATAAACTCTATGCTATACGGTACCTGCTCAAATACTAGTACAAGCACTTGCCTTTGTTACTTTACATTTAAACATGCTATTAAAAGGTTTGAAAAGACATGAATGTAAAAAAAATATATGAGGTATACAGGGTATAATCACCAAAGGATTAAAAGGTATTGAAATAATTCTTTCCTGAAAAGCAACGAAATACACAGTTGCCTTCATAATTTATTTTGTATCAGAAAAATAACTTGTGCTGGTAAAACATTTTTTCAAAATTATTTAATTTGATCCTTTATCAGCAGAAGAAGGAGAAAGATGCCAAGGTCAAGGAAGCAGTAAAGAAGTGGTGTTTATCTACCGTAACAGCACATGCAGATAACACAACAAAGAATCGTCGGGTGTATGTTGGAGAGGCTTTCATAGAATGCCGTTCACAACTTCCATAAGAATTAACCATGTCCAAGAAGATGTTCAGCATGGCGGTCCAACACCTGTACCCTCACGTCACAACTATCCATAATGGAGCAGGCGACTGACGATATTATTTTGCAGGAATAGTACGCCAGCAGCCTTTCGTGAATGTACCTGTTCAACAAACAACTTTCGGGCTTCCACTTGAAGAATTCTCACCACTCTTCTCTGATCAAGATGATGTGCCGATGGTGGACTTGGGTAACTTGGATGATATACTTAACCAGGATCCAGAACTGTATCAAGAAGACACCGGAATCTTGTATCTCCAGGCTCAACTAAGCGACGTCACAGAGGAGAACAAAACACTGAAGACCAAGCTGCACGAAATAGAGGAGAATAAAGAACTTCAAAAACAACTCAAGCGCATAGAGACATCACTAGATTATGAACGAAAAGAGAGGAACCAACTTTACAGAAAAATCAGCAAACTCCAGCCTGCCCCTTCAGATCAACAACTTTATAGATTCCAAAACGCCAACATCTATAGCCACTTCTCAACATCCATTTGCAACCTAGAAAGCGGAAGCTTCGGTAGCGTAGAAGCCAAAATAGATGCTGCAGGAATGGAAATTGCCGTGAAAACCATGACAGATAGCTACATGCTATGCCTACACCTACTAAGGTGTAGGCATAGCATGTATTACTGCCTATATATTTGTTTGAGCTATTTTGAACCTGATTGCAAAATACCATATCAGACATAGAGGAAAATGAGATTAAATACCCTACACCTAACTAGGTACAGACTTTGTCTACTAAGGTGTAGGCATAGCATGTATTACTGCCTATGTATTCATTTGAGCTGTTTTGAACCTGATTGCAAAATATCAGACATAGAGGAAAATGAGATTAAATACCCTACACCTCACTAGGTACAGACTTTGTCTACTAAGGTGTAGGCATAGCATGTATTACTGCCTATGTAAACAAGAGGTCGAGGATAACAAGTACACCTAGATCCAAATAAGGTATCATACAAAAGTAGTAACATGTAAGTTTACAAGATGTCCATAAACGATGCCAGTTGAAGATTTATAGAATGACAATTTGAAAATAATTTAAAAAATACATTATTTAGAAAATAGGCTGGCATTAATGCAGTGAATTGAGCGGCAAATAGGCGACATATGTCGACAAATAAGAAATAAAGAATCAATTTTGAGGAGGTAGGCAACCTTTGCACTGCCAAGTTTTATTTGGATTCTTCCAATTTTTGCATATTTTTGGTTTGTGGTTTTCATTTTATAAATTTGCAAATTTCTAACCTTAGGCTTAATGAAGGTGTGAAAACTTGACCAGAAGTGTCAATCGATCGGCAACCATTCTCTCTGATGTAGACAAAAATCAGATGATAATGCATATCCATTCACTGAGTGAAGAAGCCAAGAAGCATCTACTTACACATGATACAGGTGTTTATCGGTTTCTTAAAATGTTCATAAATATGTATTTCTTTTTCAGAAAACAACAACAGCAACAACCCTCATTTAACAGATTTCTATCCAGGGTATTTTTCTGGCTCAAAGACTATGTAATTTGAAATAATACTGTAATGGTCTGATTTACACATTATTAATGATTAGAGTTAACACGGTTATGACGGAATGTTCGAACATAAAGCCCGTTGTATTGATCACATTGTTGAGCGTTAAACTATAAGTAATCCAATATGGAAATTGTAAAATAAATTAGCCCAAGTTGTGATCACAAACCAGTTTCCCACTTTGGAAAAGACGAGCTCAACGATACATGCAACTCGAACGCTAGGTACGGACTATTCGGAATTATGATAGACAAATAGCATCGAAGCAAGCATAATGGTCAAACGCTGTATACCACAGTTCTGAAAGTGATCGCAAGAAGTCTCTAGTGGAACACAAACAGATGAGCACGAGCACTCCCCCGTGGAACTAAATCTCCCCGTGGACTGCAACTTTACTCCGCTGTGTAGACACGTCAGTACAAAAATCATAAGAAAGGACGGATGCTCAAAGTCCTCATCAGTAACTACTATTTTTGTTTCAAAGTTAAAGTATGGATTTAAATCAGCTAAACAGAAACAGTTTTTTAGAAAGCATACATCACTCTCAAAAACATCGATGGCACTCACCTCTCTACTCAACTCTTGCTAATTTTGATCAGGATATTTCTAAAAATGTTAGCCTAGAATCTAGGCCAAGTTACTTGGCAAGTACATCTAGATCTAGGCCTACATCTACAACAATCTCTTCTGGACTTGATAAATCACCAGTCGTCAGTCTCAGCAACAACAGCAGTAAAAACCAACACACTGATCATTCCTATTCAACTCTTTGTAACATTAGCAATGTGTCACAAGATCAGGAAAGGACCAAGTGCACTATGGCAAGTGATTTTAGACAGTCATATCTTTCACCATGAGTACTTTCTGGCCATAAAAACAATGGTTTTTATTAAAACAATATGTTTTCTTTCAAGTGAAGTCCCCATGATAGTAAAAAATCAATCCAACTCTGAAAAATTATGGATTAGGGCCCCACTGTGGCACTTTTTAAAAAATGTTAGGCTTATTTTCTAAAAAGAGGCTCAGAAGAAGGTTATGGCTATTTATCTTGCACTACAAACTTTTTTACCTGACATAAAGGGGCTCTCAATACAGATCTTGACAGACGATACTTCAGCTCTGGCGTATGTAAACAATCAGGGTGGGCCAAGTTTGTATCTTACGCAAATTGCCAACGCAATATAGAATCTAGCATTAAAGGAAGACATTTACCTACAATGCAAACATCTTTGTGGGAAGCAAAATATCTTGGCAGACCAGCTGTCACGGGTAATAGACAAATACAACTGGATGTTACACCGAATATATCTAATACCTGAAGCAGGGCAAAGATATAGTTATAAACATCCCAAAACAATCTACAGAAAAAAAAATTGCATTGCAACGCTCCTCCTTGTTTGCCACTCAACATACTGGGTCTTAATTCTGACTACAATTTCGGGCAGACAGTGAGATAAGCAAAAAAGAGGCCTATATGATAGGCTACTTGTTGGGTTTAAAGGGGGAAGAGATGGAAGATATAAATTCAATCTACCAGCTATTAGAACAATTTAATGTGATTGAGATGTTTTTGGATGACAATGAAGAGTCCAGGAGAATAACTCAGCAAACTGCGAGGAACTACCTCCAGTCCATGTCTAAATTTCTTCTTTTCCTCAACTTGGGTGTAACCTAATATCACCTGAAAAGGCAGCTTCATTGGAGGAACAAATGCGACTTTGTAGAACTTTGTATATAGAACTGAGGTATAAAACTGGAAGCAGAGTTGACAAGTTGGAATAAATCACTTATAAGATGAGAAATAGGCTTTGAAAGAGCAGGGAAGCAACAAGAAGGATGTGGTAAATGAACAACAATAAAGGAAATGGGGGATGGCTTAGTGGAAAAGTCCTTAAAGTCATTGCTAGCTGGAATCATGTTTATATTCATTCAGCCTTTGCAAGTCAGCTAGATTATTTTCTAATATTTTGTATTCTTTTGTCAGCCAGAAAAGGAGAGAGATATTAGCACAGTATACTGAAATGACTAGCCTATATAGACTGTTATTGCACAAGGAAAGGGAATATTTAGTATAAAAGTACATTTTGAGGAACATTGAGGTACAAAGGCAACAAAGCTACCCCACACCTGGTAAAGATTATATACTAATGCTGTTTGAAATGTACACTAGTACAGCTGAGTGCATGGATGCAAAGAAACTCAGAAACCAAAATTTGGCAGCATAACGAATGGAAACATTGGGAATAATCTCTCATTGATTCATTTGAAGCATCTGTATAAAGATCTATTAATGAAAAAACACCCTAAATACCATGGTAAACCAATCAAAAAAGCAAATGCCTTAAGCAATAAAATCAAAGCCTCCCATTGACAGCCAATAGCTGTTAAAACAAAAACAATGGTAAAATCCTAATGTAACCCTTACAGCACCAAATCAAGTCCAACAAAAACCTACTCATTGTGGCATTAAGGTCCATACCCTTACATGTGCCACACAAATATTCTGTGAACATAGTGAAGCCAAGAATGTGTTCAATTTACCAATTTTAATATGTAGCTACCTATTTGAAATAAATCCATGTAAAATATAATTGATTGTTAATTGCTTTTATTACCAAGGCCCAGTTGAAAGACTAGTAGCAGTGCCTTTATTTGGGCAGTTCTCCCTGGACTACCAAAAGTAAATGGCCAGTCAGAGTTCTGGATGAAGACAATGGAAAGGAACTTTATTTGGTTTACTGCAAAGCAGAAAATGCTGAGTAAGTGTGTGCTTCCCCCACATATGATACACAAGGGATTGATATCAAGGGCGCTTGGCTCGATGGACATAAGCATGGCACTTCCAGCTCTTTGTGTTCTGAAAGAGATGCATTCTCTAAAAAGAATGGGTGGAGCACTTCGGAATGAGAAAAACCAGCATGAGGGTGGTGTGCCTTAGCATCATGGCTGAGAAGGATGGTGAGAAACTTCCAGATAGATACTGCATCCACTTGGCTAGTTGCGAGAGAGAGCATCTATCAAAGCATGAGAGAAGAACATATGAAGGGTTATGCTAATTACAAAGGAAGTTGTTAGTACTTACTTACATTTTACAAAAATGGTTTGATCAAAATGCAATTCAATTATCTACAAAAGTAAAAGGTTAACATTTTCTCAGTGAACCCTGGTGCATCCAGTTTGATCGGCATGTTGAATCGGTGCATCCAGTTTGATCGGCATGTTGAATCGTTGCATCGATTTGAGCATTAGATTGATACTAGGACAATCGGTGCAACTGCGAATTCTGTCTGTGCATCTAATGTTGGTGCCAATCTGATGCCCTGTCAACCCTCACGCATTAGGCGTGATTGACAATCTTATTAAACCCTGAAAAATTTAATGCTCTTATTTTTTTTCAGGTCACAGCACATTCTGCATTCATTCCTATCAGCTCCATATCAGCATCTACCTGAAACACATAGGATGTTTGTGGATTAAAAACATGTCGCCAAGAATCTTATACTAGGACTTCAATACTGCTATTCTTTGATTCTGATAGAGCTTACTCAGTTCAATAGACAGATTCGCTAGAACATGGTTGTTTGTGTGTCTGTACCAGAAGGTTCATGCTTTCATTAAGGGCCCTGGGACTGTACATAACACTGGAGGCCACGCCTAACTATCTGGCAACTGTCATGTAGGCTCAATACTAGTAGTGTATGTTTTTACAAAATCTAAGCCGAAGGTGGAGGGGAAAAAAGGTTATCCTAGAAATCTTAGACTAAAGGATTGTAAGATTGTATTTCCTTGTTTTGGTGGTGCAAAAATGAAAACTTTAAAAACTGAACCAGTATCTGATTTTGATGCATTGATATGTCAAATAGGGGACAAGGACATTCACAGAAAATCTAAACCCGTCAAAATGGCTAAGAAGATCTTAAAATGGGCCAACAAACAAAGGAAAAAGCAGAATGCTAAAGTTGTACTCATTTGTAAATTAATTGCCACAAAACTGCCCCGCGCAGTAAACTTAAAAATGATGATGAGGAAGACAAATACAACATCAAAGTACAAGAAGTGAATGATTATTTAGATAGAAAAAACAGTAAACACATTAAAATATGGAAGCATAAATTTTTAAATAACATTAAAGCTCGTCAACAATTTCTTGATCAAAGGGGGGACTTTTGAACTGGAAGGTGCATCAACAAATTAATGTAGAATAAGATGTCAAAGGTAATTTGGTTAGAAAAATGAAAGCTTTTGTGGACATGGCCAATCAGAATAATGAGACTGATGATTTTAGCCTTGGTGTTGAGGCATTTTCTATGGAAGATGATGTTCCAAGCTGTGAAGCACCAACTACATGATGTAGGCCTTCATAATTTCAGCAGAAACTGAAGGTCTGGAAGTTGTGTATTGATTATAGATTGTTTTATGACAGGCATGTCACAAATCTCAAATGTTGTCACACTCAGAATAACCCCAAGTTACTTTTTTCTTAACAGAAAATTTAAAAGTAAACTAGGTTGGAGAGTTTTCAAACTATTAAAGCTTTAAACTGATGTTATTTAAGACGCTGAGATAAATGTAATTTCTGTTGTTTGAATTTTTGTTATTTTTTCTTTAGAATTGTTCCACTTACAGAGGTTCATTAACATGGTGTAGATGGGACATTGGACTTTCAAAACATTGTTCCACTTGTGATGTGTTCTACTAACAGAGGTGTTCTACTTAGTTCCACTGTATTTATTAAACATACAATATTTCTATTTACGGAGTTCTTTTCAACAACATACTCCGGGATATGTATCATATGCTATGCAACAATAATGATTGATTGAACTTTTATAGCGTGTACCAACTACATACATATACCTAAATGGTGGAGTACCAGGGTGCCCTTATGGCCTTCAATGAGATAATCAGTGATTCACTGATACAATTAATAGCTTTAAATGTACAATTGCGTTTCGTACAGTGTATCAAAAATGGTGTTAACTGAAACTCATGATTTTCTGTATTTTATATTTATAGGCTGGATTTGGTTCTGGTTAGTGGTACTGGTAATACGGTAATAATACAAATATGGTGTATAATAGCCTATATGGTGTTAAACATATTTTGCCTTACATGGTGTTAATTAACATGGAGTAGATAGAACATGGGACTTTAAAAACATTGTTCCACTTGTGATGTATCCTACTGCATTCATTAAACATACAATATTTCTATTTACAGAGTTCTTTTCAACAACAAACTCCGGGACATGTATCACATGCTATGCAACAATAATGATTGATTTAACTTTAATAGGGTGTACCAATTACATACGTATACCTAGATGGTGGATGGTGTAAGAGGTCCCATAAACATACATATAATGCCAAATGTGAGGTTGCAATTGTCATTGGACAGAGAACCATGAAAATTCTCAATATCATCATCCTTAACAGCTACTTTAGCATCTGACCCATATGTGCAGGTGATGGCCAAACTCCTCCTGTGCACACATGTAGCAAGAACCATGAGGATTGCTCACAATCAATGGAGTATCAGGGTGCCCTTATGGCCTTCAATGAGATTGGGGGCCTGGAGTGTAACCCTGGAGTGTAACAAGTGAAGAAGACTTACAACATTACGAATCTGATTTTAAAGGGTGAAAAAAATATGCATGATGTGGAACATATATTACAGACTGAGAGTGATCAGCCTGGCATTGTGTCAGAAGATATTGATGATACACCTGATCTGACATCTCAAGATGATGTACATGATACACCAGTAGACCATGAGTTATAGGGGCATTTATCGGATTATGAGCATGCACCATGTTCAATGTTAGCATTTTTACTAACTTTATTCATATTTTCATGGCAAAAAAGCATTTAATGTACCATTTGGAGTTGGAGCTGTTGCTGTTTCATTGTTATTTCTAAAAATGTTCATTTGTGATGTTGCAAGCAATTTAGCCATCACAGATATATTCACCTTGACCCCTGAAATACCTTCTAGTGTTTACAGAGGCAAAGAAATGTTAGGGATCAAGGATTCATTTCAAAAATATGTAGTTTGCGAAAAGTGTCATCATACATATGAAATTGACAATAATTTGACTTTAAGGCAATATGGCTCCAGAATTTCCCCAAAGTGTAGATACATTCTTTATCCAAATCATCCTCAAAAGAAATGGCGTAGTCATTGTAATACACCTCTTTACAAAGAGGTCTCTCTAAATGGTCAAAAGTATTTGAAACCTCTCAAGGAGTTCTGCTACAAAAGTCCAAAAGAATCTTTATCTTTTTTGTTACAAAGGAAGGCTTTTTTACAATCATGTCAAAAATGGAGTAGAAATATAGAGAAAGACACTTTAGGTGATATTTATGATGGAAATATTTGGAAAGAGGAAGAAGATTTCTTTTCAGCTGAAACCAATCTAAGTGTTACATTCAATGTGGATTGGTTCCAGCCCTTTTCTCATTCACAATATTCATTAGGGGCCATGTTTTTGATTATTAAAAACAAGGGGGTGAAATGTCTAAGGGGTGAAATGTCTTAGGGGTGAAACATCTTGATACCCTTTTAATTAATATCTAAGTGTTTTTTTCTTATTTCTCTTTATTAAATGTTTAATGCGGGTCATCAACACGAGTGACGTTGAAGCAAAGTGGTTGTTCAACCAGTTAGGGCACACAGAAGATATCCACTTGTTACACTACAGGTCCACCAGTTCAACAATTCAAAGAGTAGAAATCGCAAAGCTTTGTATCATGGCAGACTACAACTTCATTAAAGAAAATATCGGGAAGAAACTAGATGATATAAGATTAGAAGGTGAGATCATTTGATGAATTTATTTTGTATAATTTGATGACAAAGACATCCTGCTTCTTTCCTTACATAAAGATCATTGGTTTTCAATAATCTTACTATAAAGCACGGTAGTCCTCCACGGTAGTCCTCCACCATTCAACCTTGGGTCATCGTACTGGGTCAACTTACTAAGTGGGTCAATGGGTACTCTACGAAGGTCAGAGGTCAAGGTCACTCCAAACTAGCATGTACTGATACATTCTTTTTGTTGCTTTGCTTAAATGTATGAAATGGTGCATAAAAAATATAAAGATGAATCTGATGAGAAAAGAGCTTTGAAGGTTGAGAGCTTTGTATATTACCCACAATGGTCTTTTCCCCAGGTTTACAAACAGGGCAGTATGTCAAGATACATGCTAGTAGGCAGGCTGGGTACTGATGAATGGGATGGGTAGTGATGAGAAAAGAGCTTTGTAGGTTAAGAGCTTTGTATATTACCCACAGTGGTCTTTTCCCCAGGTTTACAAAGAGGGCAGTATGTCAAGATACATGCTAGTAGGCAGGCTGGGTACTGATGAATGGGATGGGTACTGATGAGAAAAGAGCTTTGAAGGGTAAGAGCTTTGTATATTACCCACAGTGGTCTTTTCCCCAGGTTTACAAACAGGGCAGTACGTCAAGATACATGCTAGTAGGCAGGCTGGGTACTGATGAATGGGAGCGCCTGCAAAGTATTATACAAGAATCTGAGGTGATAAACCCGGGGCGCAGCTTTCCAGAGACGGTAACTTTTTTAAGAATATTTACATTGTTTTGCAAATAAGACTTCATAGACCTGTATGTTGCTGTATATCCGAACACCTGGTTGAGGTAATCTGAGTATCTTCAAATTTGAACACTTCCTTCGGTCCCACTTTTCTTCCTATTGCTTCCCGTGATAAAAAACCTTGAAATGTGAACATATCCAATCTGAACAATGGATAGTCATATTGACCTGTCTAATATGAATACTTTTTATGACATGTCAAATGTTTCAAACCAAATTGCTCAAATTTGTTTTATCATAACACCTAATAATTTAAATGAACTTCAAATAAAATTTTCTAAGCATGTACCTTGAACATTTTTAAATTGATTTATGTAAGGATATTAGTTCTACCATTTGATTGCTTGATATTATGGTCACCGCAGCAAGCAAAAGTGCAGGTACCCGGAGAAATTGTGCTAAAAATTTAAGTTCCAGCTGATCCAAAAGACACTAGGAACTTTATATAATCCAAATCAACAGTCCTTTAGCAATAAATCCCTTAAACAGTTTTAAATGAGTGTTTATACATGTTATACACGCTAACTGAGATAAAAATAAACAAAAGAAACTGCAGTGGTTAATTGAAGTCAAAAACCTGTCAAAATTATAATAGAATCAATTCAATTACCTTCTTTAACTTGTTCACCTAAGTTGATATATCTGTGTTAATATAATATCCAGTTTTGAGTTGAGTTTTTGAATGTTATAATTCCAAAAAGTTATACACGTCTGGCCCGTTTCAATGCAATAGAGAGAGTCCCCAGACTAGTTTTATAACAAAAATTATATGGTGTCCTTACTCTACACAATTATGGCATGATATATACAAATATAAAGTTTATAGTTACATGATAAAAACAAGTGAGGACCCCAATTCAATAGATCTTGAATGAATGACATTGGCACTCTCAATTTTAGTCCAGGGCAGCTGGCTGTCTATATCAACAACCCTTTTGCAAAATCGTAAAGCAATTTCCGCCTGAACATATGTGTCACTGGCAGCTCGCTGTACATGCCACCACTGGAGATCAGCCTGAAGCTGACGTACTCCGTTGCGAGCAGTGTTTTGAATAGGGAGGGGTGCGACGACGATGCAAGTGTAAATTGATTTCCTCATCCCTAGACCCGGATGAAACTGAGGAAATTCATCCCGAGGATGGTGGTGGTGATAGGCGCTACAATTCAAGGGAAGATGCAACACATTTGCTGAGTAAGAAGATGAAGCAAGGTATAGTGAATGAACAGGTATATTAAGATTATCATCAATCATATGATTCCACCATGGGATCAATGAAGTGATGGCTTTTTAATGATTAGAAAATGAAAGTGAAAAGTAAAAATTGTATCAAAATCAGAGCAGTTCACAATCACATATGTCTAAAAGTTTTACAACTAAACGGATAAAAATTGTGACTTTAAGCAGAGAAGAGGATTTGAGATTACAAGAGAGAGAGTGTGTGAAAAAGCAGGAGGAAAGCGAAGAAAGTTGAGGAGAGAAAGAAGAGGACTGATGAGAAAGCAAGAAGAGGAAGGAAGACAAGGACAGGATGACAAAGGACTTCAAACGACCAAATGTACACATACTGACAACAGACGAAAAACTATGAAAGGTTCAGGATGTCATGGACATTTTTGAGGACAAGACGGAACCAGACAATTATACTTTTGGTATTGAAAACAATAATATTATAAAGCCCTGATCAGATCAAGGAGATTATTTTATCGTGGATGGCGATGATTTGGAAGACACCTCTATGGGTACTCATCAAACATTCACGATGTAGTAACTATGGGAACCAGTCCATGATCGAATGTCGGCCGACACTCCAGTATCTTTTTATGGAAGTGTTTTTTGGAAATTGGCGTGGCTTATATGATTATTGCGGAACGACAGGCAAGGGAATATGTCGCCAGACAAAGAGAGCAGTGGGAGACGTTGGTGTACAACAACCAATCACTGGTTATGCACAACACAATAGCCTACCCCATCAGTATCAGGGAAAAGGATTGCGTAAAAAGATTTAAACCAAAAAAAACACGTTAAATTTTAAATCGTTCCATTTAAGGTACTGATTATACTTAGGCCCTCAATATAGACAGAAACTACAGTACATATCACCAACATTACCAATTTCACCAGGTACAGTAACATGCATAATAAATAGTCCAAGGATTTAAAAATAATCTAGCTTATGCACACTGAAGTCGATACAGACAGACTAATTGACGTTTTTAATGACCCAAACAAGTCCTTACAATATTTGAGGACTTTCATTTTTTCCTTGCCCCGTTCGAGACTACATGAAATACTTGAAAATTCTAAAAAAGCCTTTTCAGAAAACAAAATTCCTCAGCAATTGCATTGTATTATTGTTGACCTCGGAACTAGGAAGCTATATCTTCCAACTTTTACATCCAATGAAACTAAACCTAAAAGGTTTATTAAAATATTTTTTCATAATAAAGGTATCGAACATATTAACTTATCCAGAGTGTTACATGACAAGAATGTAACTAGTAAGATACCTGCTTATTTTGAATATCAAGAGGTACCATCAATATCATATAAATACACTGATACAATCGCTAGGAAATTTTTTAATTACAACAAAACTGTATCAGATTTTGACCACTCTGACTTTGATGAAATGATTTGTAATTGTGAAGATTCCGATTTTTAGTATGAGCCCCATAAACATGTCTTAACAGGTAACTTAGACATAATATCTGATAGTAAACTTAGAAATTTAATTAAGAAAGGCCCTAAATTTCGTGAATCCAATCCAATTTTATGGCGTTATGATAAAAAATTATTTTTGAAGCAGTTGAAAAATATGTTCGAGATTGGTTGAAAAAAGAGCAAGCTGATGAATCTGCATTAGATGAATGGGTACTTAAAATTAAGGATATCGTAAATAGAAGAATAATGAAACTTATAAAAGTCAAAATATTGAAAGTACCAGCAAAGTTTTAGATGATCCAAAAGTAATTGGATATTTGGAAGAATTCCATAAAAAGTTTGTATTGGTCCCTGCAGACAAAGCTGCTAATAATGTAATAGTGATTTGTAAAAAGTTCTATTTGTCTATAATCATAGCTGAATTAGGTATTTCAAATCATAATGTTGTAAATAAGACATACGAGGGTTGTCCCATAAGTCTTGAAATTTTTATTCTAATTC